TAATAAGTCCCACAAACCTTTCAAGTTATCTCATGTTTGTATTTAAATTTGAGAGAAACTTGACCTTAAACTTTACTCATTTAAAAAATTCATATAACCAAAAAAAAAAGAAAAAACCATCATTGTAGCGATCTCGGTTTTCATCATTCTTTCATGTTTTGCCACTTCGACTGGGGTCGAGCTGCCCGGTCAGCTCGTAGGGGTCCAGGAGGTAGCGCCCTGGCAAGGGCCGAGCTGCCCGGTCAGCTTGTGGGGATCCAGGGGGCAGCACCCCTTGGCGGGGTTGAGGGACAGCGCCCCTCAAAACAAAATGCAAAACACATTCGAAGTTGTTTGTCCGCTCGGTCGATCTGGAGTGTCGGGAATTGAATCGAGAGAATTCCGGGCTGAGGACTAGGGCCGCACGTGCGGGGCCTTGGGTCGCACGTGCGGGGGATGAGGTCACACGTGCGGAAAACAGGGCAAGGGACTGAAGCACACTGCTAAAAAGGTAGGTGCACGCGGGAGGGGCGGGGGAAGAAAGGCCGCACGTGCGAGAGTTGGCCGTACGTGCGGGAGCACGCGCCGCACGTGCTGGAAGTTAGGTAGATCCAAAAAAATTTCTTTTCTTCTCTCCTTGGGCTGATTGAATGTCACTTTTTGTATATCTCTCTCTCTCTAAAAACATTTCCTCTCTCTTCTCTCTACATTTCCTACCAAAAACCTCACAAGATCTTTAATTTCTCCAAATCCATTGGGATTTAGATCTAAGTCTTTCATCAAAGTTGGTTATCTAGGCGAGGGCTACGTTGTGTGTGGTGGAGATTCAGTTTAGGCATCGTTGATTTTGGGATTTCAACTCGTTTCTTCTTCAAACTTGAGGTAGGGATTTTCTTAAAGTTATATATATGTTTTTGCAAGATCTATATGATTTTCAAAATCATCTTTCGATAGCTTTGAAAATCGATTGTTGATTCAAGAAGTTGAGCGATTTTGAAAGTGGGTTTGTCTCTTGTTCTTTTAATATGATCTTATGGGTTTTGATCTTCGTTGATTAAAGAAAAGATGATTTTAGAAAGTTTTCTTTCAAAAGATTTGGGTTGTATAGTTTTGGTGAGAAAACCTAGAATTTGGAGATTTTTTTTTAAGAGACTGAAAATCCATGAATGATATTATTATATTTATTTTGTGTGTCAAAATAAATGGATGTTTGGAAAAAATTTTATTTATATTTATATAAATGATGAATTTAAGGGAATATGAGAATTATTGTTCATTTTGGAAATTGTTGTTCAAAACGTTGAAATAGTCTTGAAATAACTAATTATTGAGGATACTTGAGAAGAGAGAATTGTGTTATTCCTTGGATGATAAATTGGAATAAAAGTATTTATATTCATCTTGTGAAATTGGCATATCAATTCATTTGATTACATTAAACTTTGAAAGTTGATTTGAAAACTTGCATTGAGAAAAGAATGTTGAGAAACAAGTTTCCATGAATTGACTTCACCTACTCCTTACCTACTACACACTCACCCTCTTCTATATATAGGAATCATGAATCATTGTAATATATATATCAATTAATCAATCAATAATACATAAATTCTTACATTTTCAAAAGGGTTAATTTTCTATTATTTTCTTCCGTTTTAACCCATCACCAGTACGAAGTGGAGTAAACAAGTTGCTACCTGATTTCAATAAAATCTTAGAAATACTGCACTGTATCAGTCAGTCTTCCATGAAAATCATGCATCTATCTAGTGATTCATTTTCAATTTAAGCAGCTCATCCACCTCCTCTATTGTGCTAAATTGCAAGTTCCTGGGTTTTTAGGGTATGATTGGTCGTGGAAAAACCTATTATGTTCCTTTTTGCCTTCTTTGAATGTCATATTTGTTGTATCCCTTATTTATTTATTTATTTATTTATTTGTTTGTTGTTGTTGTTGTTGTTGTTGTTGTTCTTCTTCTTCTTCTTCTTCTGTTTATTTTGTCAACAAGTATGTAAATTATCGGTAGGGAAAAAAAAAAAGCATTATTATTCACTGGTTGGCCCGTCGTTCTCCATGACTAGCTGATTCTATTACTGACATAATTGGCCAATCTGTTGCCTCGTTGAATTTAGCTTCTCCGTTGAATGAGAAACTACTTCCAGAAGATGGATGGAAATAAATAAGGCTCCATGCTTTCAGTTATACCAAGGGTTATCTATGAACTGCCATTTATTTGTATTTTTCAATCCTTTTCTCTTCAGATATATTTATTTTAATTGGGAGGAACTAACAGTCTCCCAAAATGGAAGCTGAAATTCCTTGGGCTTGAGGACTCGAGAGCACTTGGTAAAAGAAAGTAAGCAATTGATTAAAAACTGCTTGTATTTATAGAAAAATTTCAAAAAAATGTTTCTTAATAGTAAGGGGTGTTGCCTTGAAATAGAGAAGATTTCACCTAGATGTTTGCCGGGAAAGAAAAATATTTCAGAATAAGGGTGATAAGATGGTTGTTTCCTTGTTTGGTTTGCTTGGCAAAGACTTGTAGTATGTATGTTGTAGAAACAATGAACACATTCTGTTAAGCATGAATGTAAGGTCAAACGTATGACATTGAATCTGTTTTGGTTAGTATAAACTAGTGATTAACTGTCATATTTGATAAAATCTTGCTTTCTAATTGATTTAAGAAGACCCAAGTTTTTGTGTTGATACGGCTTGATAATTGTATCATGTGAGCATGCTCTACAATCTGTACTTCACATATATCTGTTGGGATTATTAATTTTCAACATGAAGTGTTATCAACCTTTTATGTTCATCCCTTCATTCACAGTCAGCTTTGCCAAATTTTCCTTGTTCTGCTAACCTAAGCTTCTGCGATACCTCCTATTTGTTTGTACATTTGCTTTATACAAATTAATACTGTTTGTATATTTTGGAGCTCACATTTCAGTTCCTAAGTTGGTAAAATTGTGGGATTCAAAATGATGATTACTTGAGAAAGAAAAAAATAAAAAGAAAGAAAAGAAAAGAAAAAGAGGACATTTGCGGCTTTTTTGGTATTGTTTTGTGTGTGAATGTTTTGCATTTACAAATGCTTGACGTCTTCTTTTTCCTTCTATCGTCAGGTTTTTTATCTTCATCAGAAGGTTTGGATAAGTTTGAGTCTGTGTTCAAGATATCCAGAAAAACTTTCGACTATATATGTTCGCTTGTGAAGGAACATATGATGGCCAAGACAGGAAGCTTCATGTTTAGCGATGGAAAGCGAATGTCTTTAAATGATCAAGTAGCTGTAGCTTTAAGAAGGCTAAGTTCTGGTGATTCACTAATTTCCATCGCCGATTCATTTGGGACGAATCACTCGACAGTCTCTCAAGTGACCTGGCGTTTTGTCGAAGCAATGGAAGAAAGTGGGCTCCACCACCTTCAGTGGCCTTCCACAGAGCAAGAAATGACAAACATAAAATCCAAGTTTGAGCAAATCCGAGGCCTTCCAAATTGTTGCGGGGCGATTGACATCACGCACATTACCATGATGCTGTCTTCGTCCGAAAAGGCAAATAATGTGTGGCTCGATCGTGTGAAGAACCACAGTATGATCTTGCAGGCAATCGTGGACCCCGATATGAGGTTCCGGGATATAGTGAGTGGATGGCCTGGGAAAATGCATGATTTTGATGTGCTTCAAAACTCGACTTTCTTCAAGCTGTGTGAGCAAAGAGAGAGGTTAAATGGGAACAAAATGAAGCTCTCGGAAGGAACAGAACTAAAGGAATACATAGTTGGTGATTTGGGTTTTCCATTACTACCATGGCTCGTCACGCCTTATCAAGGAAAAGAGCTTCCCGAATCCAAGGCTGACTTCAATAAGCGACTTTTTGCAACGCGTGTGGTGGCACAGAGGGCATTGGTGAGGTTGAAGGAGATGTGGAGGATAATTCAAGGAGTGATGTGGAGACCCGACAAGAATAGGTTGCCGAGGATTATCCTTGTATGCTGCATTCTTCACAATATTGTCATCGACATGGAAGACGAGGTGCTTGATGGGTTGGCTTTGTCTCACCACCACGACCCCAATTACAAACAAGAGATTTGTGAATCTGTTGACAATACTGCCTTGGTTGTGAGAGATAAGTTGTCTCTCTACTTGTCTGGAAGACTGCCACCTTGAGTGGTTATATTGTCTGTCCAATTCATAGTTAGAAGAGCTTCAAACAGGACATCGTTGCACAAAAAGAAGATTAAGGTGAATCAGACATTTGGATTTGATTCTAAGGTTGTAAATAAACTTGGACAAGACAGTCCATGGCTAGGCGCAACCTGCGAGCTCATAAGGTAAATGGCTGAGAGTACCAGGTGAGAGGGAGAGATTTACAATAAAACAGTGAACTGCTTTATAGAGTTCTAGGGTTTAGTTTCTATAATTTCTATAGAGAGTTGGACTAATCTGGTTTTTAGTTGTTTATTGAACATTTGAGTCTCTGTTCTTTGTTTGTGAAGCACATGAATTGCATGGGAGGTAAGCTTCCATCGCTGCTTTGAGTTTCTACTTTTCTCTTTTCTCTTATCTTTTTGTTTTTTGTTTTTTTGTTTTTTTTTTTGGAAGGTGCTTTTCAGGTCTTATATCTTTGTTATTTGGGTATTAGTGGTGATAGAATAATCACAGTTGTCTGGCAAAAATGGAATCGGTTAACTCTTGAAAACAAGATGTCTTTTTTGCTCAAGTCTTGCCAACCAGATTTTAAACTGGTACCAAATTGGTACTGAAAAGCCCTACTGACCCTTCCAAGCCCGAGAGCAAATGATGATTTGGAATACAATTACTCTTTTTCGACCTCCATTGGCAAACTTTGTTGTGTTCATGGCTATCTTCAGCAATAATAATATTTCTGAAGGTTTTTAAAGAGCATGACTTGTTGGTTGAGCGTTTAGCACAAACCAAGCACCGTGTCTCATTTCTAATTTTTTTATTTAATTGATTCTGAAAACAACATGAACACAGTTAATTCCAGAGAGCAAACCAAAGCAAAACTAAATTAACATTTTACTAGAAACTCTATCTCAGCTGAACCTCGAAAATTGACATAGTCTTTCTTTACAAGGCCAGTGAGGGTGGCAGATCAACAAAATTTATAGAGTGGTTAGGGGATAACCAAAGTTAACAACTACGACTAAAGACTGTACAAAGTCAAAAAACACAACCCAATTTACATCAGCCGTGATCTAGCCTCCCACAAAATTGAGCTGAGTTTCCTTGATCTAGCATTTCCCCTGAGAGTTTATCTGCCGCAAATCATTTTCACTGCAAAAAAGATTGCATCGAAGACGTCCAATGAGCTTTTAAGATTTTAATCAACACATTGGAGATTCCCACAAAGAGACTATGTTCGTGATCATATCAGGATGTATATTCTATGGCAACATTACTCCGAACTGTACCTATGAGATGATTCAGAGGTGCAAGTTTAGTTGATAATGAGAACAGTGAACATCATTCACGCTGAGTTTTGGATAAACCAGAGAGTAAATAACCTTCACCATTCAAAATCTGGTGCAGCACAATTTCCATCATTGATGGATAGCGTAAATCTATTGGCCCATTGTTGTTTTACAGGTTCTGGAACCATTGATTCCCCTGTGAAAGGATTCCATGTACACCCTCCATGATCAGCAAGAACCCAATTGATTTTAGCCGGTGGCTTGTCAGAATCTGATGTTGAAATCTTCACCTTATCTCTGGAAATTTTCTTCCGTGAACCAAAATTCTGTGACAAAAACAGGAATAGATATGGTCATCAAGAACAAGAGCACAATGGACTCTACTTTGATCTTTGACTCGAAACTGAGTTTGCTATTAACTCACCTTAACACGACTGCACAATTTAAGCACCTGGGATAGAGGTGCATTGTCCTGGCACAATTCAAACACCTGGGACAAAGGTGCATTATCTTCCACTTCTGCTAGGTATCTCTCAACAGAAATCAGGGATCGGAATTGCCGTCCAGTCCCTGGTTCATAATAATACTGCATAACAAGATGAAATTTTGGTAGCTTCTGACAAGCAGTTTGCAATTGAATAAAAGATTGCTCAACTCTTCAGAAATGAATAAGTGAAGTTATTGAATTTGAAGTTTTGAACATACACACGCACAGACAAGTGGAACATAAATTCCACTAATTTTTTTTATGTATCTATACCCTAATGCATTTTACTTGGTAAACCTTAATAATTTTTAGCCGTAGCTTTTAAAATAACAAGAAAACAAGCAGAGCAGAGAATCCATGTCTGTGTAAAAACTTGGTATTTTACAATTCTAAAAGCACAAGTCAAAAGTTTAAGTAGCCAGGCGAGGACACTGCCTTCTATTTAATCTTACTTCGGAAAGAAAACTAAATTGTAGAGATAGGACAGTACCTTGTCGGTGTAACCCCCGCACTTACGGGGTACCTCCTCCACAATCCAACCATCAGGGAGAACGAAGGGCGAAGTAGCTGCAGCAATGGTGGGGGCCACAACTGCTAATTGCCGTTGGTTAGATTCATCCTCCTCCAGCCTCAATAACTGCAGTGGCATCAGCATCAACGTTAAGGACCAGCCCTTCATGTTCGGGCTCTTGTTGAAAGTTGGAACTCTGATATTTGTAAGGTTTTCTAATATGGATATATCCAAAACTTCAGTTATATTCTACCTCTACAGCTAAGCCAAACAAAGAACATGTGTCTGTTTATTCTTCTCTTTCGCAAGGGAGTATCACCTAAATTCAAGTGTCTTAAAATTATCTAAATAATTCCATGTGTTTCATAATGCATGCTGGCAACTATCTGGCACATATCCTCAAAATAATAATAATAAATAAATAAATTCTAGTTTCAATACTATCATTTATATACAATGGAGGATAATTTCTGAAAATTGCTTTGAATGAACAAATTGTAGCAGAAAAAGTAAAATTATCATATTTAGTCAAGTCATATTTGTTGTATCCCTTATTTATTTATTTATTTATTTATTTGTTTGTTGTTGTTGTTCTTCTTCTTCTTCTTCTTCTTCTTCTTCTTCTGTTTATTTTGTCAACAAGTATGTAAATTATCGGTAGGGAAAAAAAAAAAGCATTATTATTCACTGGTTGGCCCGTCGTTCTCCATGACTAGCTGATTCTATTACTGACATAATTGGCCAATCTGTTGCCTCGTTGAATTTAGCTTCTCCGTTGAATGAGAAACTACTTCCAGAAGATGGATGGAAATAAATAAGGCTCCATGCTTTCAGTTATACCAAGGGTTATCTATGAACTGCCATTTATTTGTATTTTTCAATCCTTTTCTCTTCAGATATATTTATTATAATTGGGAGGAACTAACAGTCTCCCAAAATGGAAGCTGAAATTCCTTGGGCTTGAGGACTCGAGAGCACTTGGTAAAAGAAAGTAAGCAATTGATTAACACTAGATTGTATTTATAGAAAAATTTTCTAAGCCCACCTGAGGGTGGCAAATCCACGTCTTAGCCTACCTGCGGGTAGCACCATCAAACCATTTTCAAACAAACAAACATGAAATGTTTTGTTCCAATTCAGGCGACCGAGTCTATACTTGTATGCTGTGCGCATCACATAGTAACCTAGGCTAATAACCGGAATAAGAACTCACAATGTTTTCAAAAATAGATATCATGGTTAGTAGAGGCCGATCTTTGATCGGGCGAGCGGGGGTGCTCACGAAGTGACCTTCCCCAATCGTACCCAAGTTCCCGAGCCGAGGAAACTTTGGTGATGACGGACAGGTGGCCTTTGGCACCGAGTCAGGGTTTCCTAAATTTCCCATTAAAAAATATTTAGGTGGCGACTCTGTATCTGGCAAAGCAGTCCATGTTTGACACTTCTTTCAAAAATCTGTTTTCTCAAAACGATTTGCCGGATTTGGACTCTTTGGTTCAGACTTAGAACCGTGACTTACGAAATCGAGAGTCCGAGCTGTGGCGAGGTCCCCCGCGGGCTTGTTACACAATGGAGTGAAAAACAACACCAAAAGATGCTATCAACTCAAACAAGAGGTGTCTAAGACCCTAAAACACCAACTTGTGAAGACTATTATACTGCAACCATGCAAAACAAGACTCAAATGAACTAAGCAGCCCCAAAAAGAGCTAAAACAGGCTATTTCAGAGGCTAAAACATGCTGGACTTGAGCTAAGTTAAACTAGAAAAACATGCTAACATATAAAGCTAACTACGCATGGAAACAAGACACAAGGAGGGGAGGCTAACCCCTCTAAATTTGGACTTCAAAATGAGCTTTTTGCCATTGAAAAACCTCTAAAATACAGTGGTTAAAAGGCCCAAAAAAGTTGGTTTGAAAGTGGTGAACAAAGGTACAAAAGCTTTACAAACAATTAAGTAAAAAGGGTGAACCACCCCCTAACTGAAAATGGCCTCAAACCACAACCTGTAGGCCACAAAAAATAGAGTTTTTTTACAGTTCAAAATCAGCCCCAAAACAGCCCAAGAATAGTAGAAGAAGATGGCAAAGCAAGTATGTAAAACAAGCTAACAAAGCAAGTGTTATACCTCTTTAAGCCATGGCACAAATTAGGCAACAAAGCAAGGCACAACTACCTTCTAAAGCTCAAAGAGGGTCTTAAGTAACCTCAGCCCAAAGAGAAGCAACTTTGGTCAAGGGTTGATAGACAAAAGTATAGGATTTGTGGGCAAATGTATACAAAATTGCAAGAGAGAGAGTGAGAAATCTAAAGAGAGAGAGAGAGAAAGAATTTTGCTCCAAAATTTTCTAACCTTCTAAATGTTTCTAACGTTGAAAGCAAGAAGAGAGGTCAAGTATATATAGAAAACAAGAGTCTCAGGTCGAAATATCTATATAGGGACAGATGGAGGAATCTGGAAACAGTTGGCCACAAATATCTACAAAATATCTATTTTTTTGCACCAGTGGCTGGCAAGCCACCAATGGTGGACGACAAAAACACATTAATGGACGGCACCACCCCAAAAGTGGGTAAATCTACTCAAAAACAGGTCAAAATTTTCACTACTGGCCAACAGGCCACTAAAATGGCTGGCAGGCCACTATTTGTGGCCGGCCACAAAAATTTATTTTTTTGGCTCGATTTCAAACAGGCATATCTCCCTCATCCAGACTCGGGTTTAGGTCATTCTTGAGTCTAAATTGAAGCCCCGAAGTCTACTTTCCAATGGTGGAAGCCTCATATCTAAATGCTAAGTGTGTAAAGAGATATACATATTTTAGTGAAGGCTGCTCAGTTTTGTCCTAACGGATTGATGCCTGACTCTTCCCCCAGCTAGTTTTCTTCATTCTCCTCCAATTTTCTTCAAATCCAAACCTCTAAATAAGATGTTTTACAGATTTTTTAAAAGATTTCACCTCTCTTCCATTTATTTCCACTTTGTCCTTGCTCGATTTATCGAAAAGTTTAATTTTTAACGAAATGCGAGCCTCGGAACATCGTAGAAACATTTTCAAAAAAATATTTTGAAAGGGAGGGTTTTAAGGTCTAAAATATTTTTGGTCAGAAAAGTTTTGGTCCAAAAATGGGGTGTAAGGTTGGGATTAGAAGCTCTCCTTGCTGAAGAAATCGAACGGTTGCATAGCACAACTTTCATCATCGAGTGATCAATCAGTAGCACCCAAGTCTTAAGCGCAATCAAAAATAGGGTGTCTACAGTTGTCCCTCTTTGACAGAGCTCGAAGTCATGAAGTAACGTGAGTGAATGTCAAAGCCGAACAAGGCTGTAAGACTTGGGCAAACAAACAAAATGCAGATACAATTGGTTGAACCCGAGGGTTACCTATGTATCCCGTTGCAAGGAATCAAACCAGTGTAGTTCAGGGGCAGGATATAAATGATACACAATGTAATGCTGTTTGAATTTGGACTCACACGCTATGCGAAGCCGACTATTTTGAGAAACCTTATGATTATGCGAGATGATGCAACAAACAATAACAGATGCAATAAGCAAGATCACAACATATGAAGGAGTAGCTTCAAGCTTTCATGCAAAAAGCTGTAAAATAAATTCCAACCACGCCAAAACATAACACAGGACGAGGAAAGAAAACACCGCTTAGGGTAAACTGAGAATCGAAAACTGCTCGGGGTCGCGTTTCACGTATCCTGAGATAAAACATGCCCAAGCTTGCGTATCACGCGTCTTGAGATAAAACACGCCCAGGCTCGCGCATCATGCGTCTTGAGATAAATTCCGAACACGCTGAAATCGTATGGGGAAAGGAACACTCTAACCACATTTAAATCGTGAGAAAAGGAGAAAAATCGCTTGGGTTCGTGTTTCATATGTCCCAAGATGAAACACGTCCAGGGCTGCGCTTCACGCGTCCTAAGATAAATTCCAAACACGCTAAAATCGTGTCAGGAAAGGAACACTCAAACCACGTTGAAATCGTGAGAAGAGGTTCTACAAAAAACCCTCAGAGGCGCATTCCACGCATCCTGAGATAAATTCCAAACATGCTAAAATCGTGTGAGGAAAAGAACACTCTAACCACAGTGAAATAGTGAGAAGAGGTCCTGAGAAAAACACTCAGGGGCGCGTTCCATGCGTCCTGAAATAAATTCCAAACATACTGAAATCGTGTGAGGAAAAGAACACTCTAACAATGCTGAAATCGTGAGAAGAGGTCATGAGAAAAACACTCAGGGGCGTGTTCCACGTGTCTTGAGATAAATTTCAAACACGCTGAAATCGTGTGAGGAAAAGAACACTCTAACCACGGTAAAATCGTGAGAAGAGGTCCTAAGAAATGTCTCGGGGGTCAACGATCCTAAACGCTACTTAGCATAAAAGGATAACTGATACAAGATAACACAAGATGCAAATAAATGCAATAAGCGTGATGATATGATACATGTTATAAGCAATGTAGTGCATGACGTTTAGGGAATGCAATAAACAAACAAAGCGGTGCTTTAGAAAGAATTGAGACAAACAAACATTTACACTGAAACGACTCAAAACAAGAATCGAGACAAACAAAAACAACAAACACAACACTTGGATGTGTTACAATGGCGAGAGACCTCTCGGTTCACGGCGAGCCCACAGCTTCTCCAGGTATTGTTTCCCACCCTTTCTTATTTGTGATTCTCACATCACTTTGGCACTCAATTTGTATTTTCTCTGAAAAGTCTTTTCCTTACTTTTCCTCTCAACGCACATCTCTATTCTTTAATCTCTCTTATTTTTATCCATTCCTTGAGTGGTTGATGGATAAGCAGGAAGTTGTGGGCTCTATGAGGGGAGCGAATATCTTGGTCCATTTCCAGTCTGTGCTTCGCACAGAGCTTGATACCTTGCTGTTTGGAGGATGAGAGAGCTTTCAGCCTTCTGTTATTAGCTTCAGTTGTGCCCTTTTCTGGTGAGTGGAGTGCCCTTTCCGGCGAGTATGGTGCCTTTTTTCGGGCAAATATGATGCCCTTTCTGGCAAGTATATTGACAACGGGAAAAAGACAGAAAACCTGACTCAACTGTACCCCTAGTTCATCATTTTGACCATTTTTTTTTTGTGGATTTCTACTAAAACAATTTTGACCAATATGAGAGCTAGATTAACATGCTTATTCGATTTTCTACTTTGAAATCATGCAAGTCAGGTTGTGCGCACTGAAAATTTTCCTTTTCTGGGTCCAAGAAAAGGTTCAGTTTTGAAAAAATAGAATAATTTTTGAGAAAATTAGTTAACTTCATTAAAAATCCTCAAAACTGTTTTTGCATATGGCCACTGCTTAACCAACATGGAATTTACTTATGAGATGTACAACCTAAGATCTGAACTTGAATTGTCTTGCAGCTGAATCTTTTTAACGGAATAGGACAACCCGATTTTGAACGAAGCTGAGCCAATTTGCACATGGATAGGATAGCCGAGTTTGAACAAGGATAAGCCAATCAACATGGATGAGCCAAG